ATGTTTATAGCAGCAATGTCCACAATAGCCAAACTATGGAAAGAGCCTAGATGTCCATCAACAGATGACTGGATAAAGAAGATGTGGTATATATTTACAATGGAACATTATGCAGCCATCAAAAAATGAAATCTTGCCATTTGCAAAGGAGTGGATGGGACTAGAGGGTATTATGCTAAGCAAAGTAAGTCAATCAGAGAAAGACAAGTATCATACGATCTCACTGATATGAGGAATTTGAGAAACAAGACAGAGGATCATAGGGGAAGGGAGGGCAAAATGAAACAAGATGAAACCCGAGAGGGAGACAAACCATAAGAGACTCTTAATCTCAGGAAACAAACGAGGGTTGCTGGAGTGGAGGGGGGGTGGGAGGGATGGGGTGTCTGGATGATGGACATTGGGGAGGGTATGTGCTATGGTGAGTGTTGTGAATTATGTAAGACTGATGAATCACAGACCTGTACCCCTGAAAAAATACATTATATGTTAATAAAAAAAACGTAAAAAAAATAGAGATCAGATAATGTGACCTTTCAGTTTAAACTCTCCATAATTAATGATTCTATTTAGCATAAAGACCAAACTGCTAACAGTGACCACAGGGCTCTATGTTGCACGTGTGCTGGCCATAGCCGAACTCTCCAAGTCACTACTTTCCTGGACTTCCTTCTGCTCCTTGAACACACAGGTTCCTAGCTGCCCCCATCTTAATGAGATCATGTGCATTTTACTCTGTGGTTAAGAGGGCAGACTCAGGAGTCAGACTACCTGGCTTTCAATCCTTGAATCCCAGCTGTGTGTGAGAGATATCATGGATATTACCTAGCCTCTGTGAGTTTCTGATTCCTCAACCAGAAAATGGAGGTGATTTTTGTAAGGATTAAATGAGATAATCCATGCAAAAATCAAGAACAGTACTTGGCTCCTAGTTAATGCTAAATAAACATTGGCTATTGTTCTTAAGCTATAATTTATTTTGTATCCTTCTAAAACTTGATGTGTAAGACAGTGAAATTTAGTTTTCAACCAGCAGGTTAACTTTTTAGCTAAGGTTTTGTTGAGATTTTGAAGTTCTATAAAAAACTTCCTACTCTCGACAGACCCCACAAATGACTGCATGCTGACACAATAACAGCAACATGGTTTAGGATACAATTCAGTAGCGGTATGTTTGAGTCTAATTCAGTCCTGGAATGAGTAATATAAAAATACAAAATATAAAAAATATAAAATGTATTTATATTGTATATATATTTATATATATGAGTAATATAAAATATATGAGTAATATAAAAATATAAAATATAAAAAATATAAAAAATAAAATATAAAAATTTCTTGGGACACCTGGGTGGCTCAGTCAGTTAAGTGTCTGACTCTTGATTTCGGCTCAGGTCATGATCTCAGGGTCGTGAGATTGAGCCCTGTGTCAGGCTCTGCACTGAGCGTAGAACCTCCCTCCCTCTGCCTCTGCCACTCCTCCCTGCACCCCCTCCCCACCCCACCCCCTGCACGCACACTCTAAAAAAAATAAGTAAAAATAAAAATTTCTTACTTTTGATTATAACATGAGCCTAAGAATTCATGAAATTCTCTCCCATTACATGTAATTGTAATTGTTCTTTGGGATAAAAATACACTAAAATCTGTTTGTTTGTTTGTTTAATTATGATCCATACTTCACAAGGCTAATGAGCCAGTTTTCTAAAGCACCTTATATCAGGCTTAGGAGACTCTTTTAAAGATTTATTTATTTATTTATTTATTTATTTATTTATTTATTTGAGAGAGACAGCAGAGTGAGCAAGAACACGAGTGGCAGGGAGAGGCAGAGGGAGAGGGAGAAGCAGGCTCCCCGCTAAGCAGGGAGCCCAAAGTGGGGCTCAATCACAGGACCCTGAGCAGAAGGCAGACTCTTAACCGACTGAGCCATCCAGGCACCCCAGACTTTTTTTTTTTTTATATGTGTATAGAATATTAACAGTAAGATTTAATAAAATATAAGAGACTGACTCTTAATGGTTATTCTTACTCTGCCCAGTTCCCTCATTCTCCACAATCTATCTGAACTCACGGATACCCCAAGGCTGGCTGGCTATCGAAGTAAATCCAGTGTTATCACGTGGAAAACTGTACACTGGAAAAAATTCATTATCTTTGTTGAGGTTCTGGCATGAAATGTGCATGGTATATAGAACCAGTGATTAAAAAAAAAAAAAGATTTATTTATTTATTTTAGAGAGTACATGAGAGCACCAACTAGGGGAGAGGGAGAGAGAATCCCCAAGCAGACTCCCCACTGAGCACAGAGCCTAACATGGGGCTCAATCCCAGAACCCCAAGATCATGACCTGAGCCTAAATCAAGAGTCAGGCACTTCAGCGACTGAGCCACCCAGTCGCCCCAAGAACCAGTGATTACTTTTTGCCTGCTGATAACTCATCTGGAGGATTTCAAAGGCAGAAGAGGACTGGTAGTTCAGGAACTTCGATACAAATTTACTGAAATAAAATTAAAAACCTGGTGTGAATGTTTTAGGTCTACCAGAGTTAGATACCGAAACTGGTTTCACAGGAGGTAGAGAAATATTTTCTTTTATTACGTAAAAGTAGGTATATCTCATATATATATATTCTAGTTAACCTTTTAAGTTAATTTGTATCCTTGTAACACTTTCTATATTTCTTTTTTTTTTAAAGATTTTATTTATTTATTAGAGAGAGAGCACATGAGAGGGGGGAGGGTCAGAGGGAGAAGCAGACCCCCTGCTGAGCAGGGAGCCTGATGCGGGACTCGATCCAGGGACTCCAGGATCATGACCTGAGCCGAAGGAAGTCGCTTAACCAACTGAGCCACCCAGGCGCCCCACTTTCTATATTTCTAACACTTATTATAACATCACTTACATTGTTTGTTTGTTTGTTTTCTATGTGTCCATCTCTGCTGTTAGACTGGGAACTCCTAGATGCCAGGGAATGGGTCTTTATTATCTGGCACATAGTAGGGCCTTAATAAACACAGGCTGAAATCAGTTGGCAGCCTATTAAATTGAATGTGAGGGGTGCCTGGGTGGCTCAGTCCTTAAGCGTCTGCCTTCGGCTCAGGTCAGGATCCCAGGGTCCTGGGATGGAGCCCCGCATCGGGCTCCCTCCTCGGCGGGAAGCCTGCTTCTCCCTCTCCCACTCCCCCTGCTTGTGTTCCCTCTCTCCCTGTGTCTCTCTCTGTCAAATAAATAAATAAAATCTTTAAAAAATAAAAATAAAAAAAATAAATTGAATGTGATTTCACATAACATCTGTAGCATAAAAGCAATGCACACTAAAATTCACCACATTTCCAGCAATGCTGAAAGCAAATAAAGCATTTAATTTTAAGAGGCTCTATCTGAACTTGGATTTCGGAGGCATATCTGATCATCATTAGCAAACAGTTTTCTTATGCAAGTTTAAGTTCCTTTCATTGTATTCTAAACTGCTTTAAGAAGTTTGCAAAACAGCCCCCCCATCCCATGACTAATCCTGCTAACTTATTAAATTTTAAAAGTCTTTTTGTCATTCATTTAGCATTCTGAAATGTATGACACGGTGGTTAAGAATATGGGCCTTGGAGCAAGACTGCCTGGGTTCAAATCCCTGGGGTGACTTTGAAAGAATTGCTTTAACCTCTCTAGGTCTCAGTTTACCCACATATAGAAAGCAGATACTATTAATACCTCATAGGCTTACATGGAAGTTTAAATCATTATGCATGAGTATATGCACACTTATAAGTGTCATGTAAGTATTACTTATTGTTCTATACAAAACGTTTGCTTTCATTAACAGGACAAAGTCCCTTGAGGAGCTCACAGATGTTTACATTCAAAGACAATGCAGAGGATCCTTTTATTAAAAATAAAGGTTCATACTTTCAGTCAGTGGTAATAATTTCTCTAAAACTACATTTTTTGTCAATTCTTGAAAGAGCTATGAATTATGATTCATATCTTGCTTTTAGCTTAAATAATAAAGAAATTTGGTGGAATTAAACAGTAAAAAAAATAAAAAGATGAAGAGTAAGGTAGTGGAGACCTCGAGGATTTTAATCTTTTTTTGTATTTTAACTACTACTTTGAAAAGCAACCAATTAATAGAGTACTCATCAGTTTATGGATTTAGAAACAGTATGTGCACACTGTGGCTCTTAAAACATTTCCAACTTAAATTATTGGTATTGATCAAAATGCAATAATAATTTAAAACTATATACTTTCACATCAAGTTTTCTAATTTCCCACAGGCTGAGTCTTGTCAAAAACAAAAGAAATATTCTACTCTCTGCCTATCCCTTTTTAATACAACACTGATTCTTGAGGTTTTTTCTACCTAGTGATTCCAAGTTCAAAGTACATTTAGGAGGAATAACAGAATCTTAACAAAAGAGGAAAAATTCCAGAAAAAAAATAAGAACATTTAAAAATATTCAATCATTTAGCATTTCCATGAATGATTTCCTAAATCATCTATAGTTAGACTCTATCTGACTGATAGACATGGTATTGTTCCCATTCTCTTTTCACTAGAGAAACCAAAAATAAGACACTTTACATTTTAAATAAATTCAAGTTCATGTAGCCAAAATGTTTTCAATTAAAAGGAACAAATGTTGACCTTAGACATAGTTGATGTATGCCCAAGTGTCAGAACTGTTCAATTCGTATAAAATTTTCAGGAGAAATGAGGTTTGAGTCACACCACCATTACGTTGTTTGTGTTGGAAAAGCATGTTCCCCAGTGAAGCTTGACTCAAGCTCTCAGGCCGTATCTACCCCTTTAAGTCAGAGGCGCCTCTCCTTACCTTCAATGAACACCTCCGCAGACGTGGTGTCTGAGCCGCTGGGGTTTGTAGCCAGGCAGGTATAGCGACCTGTGTCGTCCTCAAAGGCCTCTGCTATGATCAGGGTGTGGAGGTCCCCGCCCTCACTGCGGATCTGAATATCAGGAGTGCTGTGTAGCTCTTTTCCCTCACAGAACCATCTGCAGGCCAAATGGAGGTCAAAGGACAGGAGAGAAAGAAAGGAAATGGTGATGCTTAAAATAATAAAGCAGAAGTAAAAGGCTAATGCCCTGTAATAAGATGCCCATTTGATTAAAAAAAAAAAAAAAGATCTATGTCAATGTTACTGAGGGAAATGCTACATTTTAGACCATGAAATTAATGACTAGACAATTCCCCCAGGTTTTCTTTGTAAAGCATCTTGTATGTTTTATCAACCTTGAAATAAGGGATATTGTCAAACTTGGAAAGACCATTTTAGTTAACAAAACAAAAGGAACAGAAATTCAAAGTGTCTTATAGAATGTTTTATTATCATAGATGCCCCTTATAACTTGATCATTCTGACCTTAAGAAAAATAGGAAATATAAACATTATGCTCAAAATATCTAATGTATCAAGGGGGAACGAGTCATCATGTTAAAAAATCACAGGCAGCAATATTTTTGTTGACCCTAAGACTTGTGATCAGCTGAGCAATAACAGATTTAATGCTTTCCACATTTCTGGTATTTACAAAACTTTCTAGCCGAACGCCTGGCCTCCACAAGGTAGGGAGATGTAGGTTGTGCTGTAATTCATTCTTGTTGGTCAGCACTTTGCCTTTCCCAAACAACCAGGACCTCGGTGTAGGAGGCTGCAAGCTGCCAGACCGTTTTAATGCACGCTCTCTCTCACACTTGCCTTATTCCCCCAGCACCTCAAACTCTCAACAGGATTTTTATTAAAAAAAAAAAAACAAAAAAACATGAAGCTGCCCTAAAACCTCCCCTAAATGTGATTTATTTTTAAAGAAATATGTAGGAATGTGCCACTTACAACCAAAAGCACTGAGGTCTCTGGGACAATATTGTCCATTTACCTCTTGATCGGCACTCAGATTTCCTCAGAGTCTCATATTCTATAAAATTCTTTGGACTTTGCATCCTTTTGTAAAAATATGGCATCGAAGGCTAAGTTTTTTCTGTATTTAGGTAGCATAGTTTAGGTATTTATCTATATTTAATCTGAAAATAAAACCAGTTTGCTAATACTCTGGGTATTAACTCCAGAAACTGTATTAAAAATTAAATATGGGTTACTCATAGAAGAACAGGGAAGACTTTGGGAATTAAAAGACATTTATCACCGCCACCTTGCCAACAGAGCATCCTCTGCAACACAACACCTACTACTTCTGAGATGATTGAGAAGAGCAGTATTTCTTGACTCTGGAGCATTTTGTAATTTCCTTTGTCTTTTTTAAGATTTTATTTATTTGAGGGAGAGAGCGAGGGGGAGAGAGAGGAGCAGGGGGAGAGGCAGAGGGAAAAGGAGAAGCCAACTCTCTGTTGAGCACGAGACCAATGCGGGGCTCGATTCCAGAACCCCGGGATCATGACCTGAGCCAAAGGCAGACGCTTAACCGACTGAGCCTCCCAGGTGCCCTGTTTCCTTTGTCTTCAAAAAGTTGCACAGAACATTCAGCCTAGAGTCATCTTCCAGTTCCTTCTTTACTGTTCTCTTTACACAGTCACAGACCAGATCTTCACCCATGAGAACTGACTGGATTAAGTTAACGGATTTCGCCATCTCTAGTGAACTATAGATTCTTCCTCGATTCTGTATCAGATTAAAGCTCTTCCCGCATACATCAGTCTCTAAACTTTAGATCTGTCATTGAAGCCATTCATACACCTGGCCCTGATTTTATTTCCTTTTTATCATTTTCCTATACTAATCCTCTGTTTCTATTAAATATTTGCATGGATTTGTTATTTCCTACCTAGTCCTCATGTAGCACTTGCTGACCTTCCTTTGCCTATCCTTTCTCTTCCTTAGAATTTTCTCCTGCCCTCTTCACTAAAGCCCCTTCCTTATAGCCAAGCTAAAGGCTCCTTCGACAGATTAAATTCAACTGAACATATGCTTGTTGGGCATCTTTTATGTGGAAGGCACTGCATTACATATTACAGGTAATAGAATAAAGCCTGGTAAACTCTGCAACTAGTTGAGGACTGTCTTTATCTTCCATGAAAAAGATACAAACCAACACTTGGAGGGAAAATTAAGCATGAAAAATACAATGAAGTTTCAAGAGAGGGCAAGAGTAATTTGCTTTGGTTAGATGTGCTTCATAAGGAAACCACTGTCAGCTACCCAAGGGAGTGTGGCATCTTGTCCTCTAACTCCTGAGTCAGCAAACCCACAGCTTGCAGCCCCATCATCTGTTCTCATATGGCCCATGAGCCAAGAACAGTTTTCATATTTTTAAGTTTTTGCAAAAAAGTCAAAAGAAGAAGAATTTGTGAGATATGGAAATTACAAAAAGTTCAAATTTCAGCGTCTATCAAGTGTTTTTTTTTTTTTGGAACCCTGCCATGCTCATTGACATATTGTCTCTAGCTGCTTCTGCATTATAGTGACAGAGGTGGGTAGTTGCATCAGAGTATATGGCCCACAAATCCTAAAATATTTTCTATCTGCACTTTATAGAAAAAGTTTGCCAACTCCTGCTCTAATTTCTTGCTCCTCAGAGTGTGATCCTTGGACCAGCAGCATCGGCATCATTGGGGAGTTTATCAGAAATGCAGAATCTTGATCCTCATCCCAAATCTACTCAATCAGTTCAGATTCTCCAGGTGACTCACATGCACACAAAGGTTAAACAGTTCAGGTCTGTGAGGTTTGGACCATACCATCCTGCATCACCGCGTCCTGGCTCTCCCTCTAAGTTATTCACTTCTTTAACCTAGCAACCATATTTTATGTGTCTTGTACTTCTGCTCCCTTGCACATAAGTGCATGTAAAATTATGTTCTGTTTCTCCTACCTCTATACTGAACAAATTTTAACTTTTTTTTTTTAAAGATTTTATTTATTTATTTGAGAGAGAGAATGAGAGACAGCACAAGAGGGAAGAGGGTCAGAGGGAGAAGCAGACCCCC